CTTTATACAACAGTTAAAATAAAACTGTGACAAAGGTTAAAATATTTGGGTCGATAAGGTTAGGTGCTACATTGAGAGATTATAATATGTAATATATAGTCACACGTTCTGAATTGTGATATGCTCATAATGCTCGCATTTATACTATGATTTTGGTCTATCAGAGTTTATTGAAGGCATGAATCCAGGGGAATTAAAGAAAGTTTTGAAACCATTCAAAGACATTTGTATAAACATAGCTTTCTAATACAATTCGAAACCCATTCAAAGACATTTTCATTATTTAAAAAAAAATATCAATTTTGAAAAACTAATACTATATATATGTATAAGATCAAGAATATTATCTACAGGAATACTGAATAAAACTTTCTTTATGAAGGATGCAACTTTGAGGTTGACAAAGTATAGCTTCAAAATGAAGAAACTGAGATCATTTCGATAGGATAAAAGCAAAACCTATCTCTTCCTCAAATATAGAAAATAAATTATAGTAGTCAGTTTCGTTATCGATTGTGAGTGCTGACTTTGAATTTCAGTATATTTATTTTATTTGTTGATAAAAATGCCATATTTGATTCTAGAAACTATAATGTTCTAATCCTTGCAGTTTTTCTTCTTCTTCCAAACAGTTAATATGTTTCTTCAAATAAAAATATTTTTTTTTAGCAAATAAAAATATGTTTCTTCAAAAAAAAAAAACAGTTAATATGATATATGTACTTTCATCAATTCATTTATTTCCAACGAGGACATAAAAAAAATAACCTTCCAAATTAGAATAGCGATTTCTATATATTTTAAATACTCCATAATTTTCAAATTAATAATCTATCGTTTTAACCTACAATCAATCTTAATTGGGTTTATATATTTTCAAGAAAGAATCAAACGGACAAAATAATAATGAAAAACGATTACTGTAAGCTCGTTATATATTTCATATAGAAAGATGTACTGATTCAAAAACAATTCACATGGATATTATTTGCATACTTGGATAAACATTTTAAACTGGATCGGTCATAAATGGCATATGATTGCTGCTTCTGCGTGTCTTATGCAAGGTTTATAAATCATTACATACTCCAAGCACGAAACCTTCCAACGGCAATTAATTTTAATATATACGATCATCATCGCGTGTTTGACAAGTGAGTAAAGTAATACTATAGTTTACAATCTAAATTTTTTTCCTTGAGACGTATTGTTTGTATGACTATGGAAGTTCCAATAGCTTATTTATTCGCTAAAACAGTATATGAGTTTCTATATGGTATACGAATATTTTAGATTCTTGCAAAGATAAAAATGCTGGTGATAGATATTACATTAAAGTGAAAAGGGGAAAAAATGTAAAGAAAATAGAGAACCCTTAACTCTTAAAAACTGAGTCTATGACGAAACCACTAGACCATGGAACATCTAATTCAAGTAACTTGTAAGCATATTTGGGATTCAAAATCATTTAGTTATAGTTGCACCATTTGACGTTTCTCACTTTCTCTCCAACATCCCCACGCAAACTCCGTTGACGCTCTCACCCGCATTTTTTCATATCACACATTTATTATACGGTACGCCTAAACTACATAGAAAATGTAATATCACTAATTTAATAAGTAACATAGTAAGAAAAAATACGAGAGCCGCACATTACATTTTTGTTTTGAAAAGGGTTACCGCAAAATTACTTACGAAATCCTAATTTGATTTTTCTTAATGTAGACCAATGGTGACCAAGTCGCAAGTGGGGTGCGTGTTCTTGCCACTTCTTTTTGCTTGTAGGAATCTCCTATATATATTTCGTATTTTTCTACTTAGTTATTTCAGTAATATATATAAAAGTAAAAATATAAGAGGACAAGCAATACAAAGACATATTTTATATAACGTTTTGAAATCAATCATTTTGAATAAATTGAAACAAATTTACGAATAAAATAGATCGTTGAAATTGTATTATAGGGGATTATTGTCAATTTGGAAAGGGACCATTCATTGAATGCGATTAGAAAACTTGAGACAAAGAAGATTTGGGAAATCGGGAGAGAGGGAAAGATGGTAAATGGTTTGGTTGCATTGCATATGAGAATCAACTGTTGAGTGAAACAACATATAAAACAGGTAGAAATTGTTATGTACACATATAAATACCTTATCCTCTTACACCAAAAAAAAAACCTTATCCTCGTGAATCTCGTATCACATTAGATCGTCGAAAACGACGGGTGGTACAAGGCTATATATGTTTTCCTATTCAAGTAAAACTAAAAGAGTGGAAGCTATCGTTTAAACTTTTAATATAACAGCGAGGATGATAACCTTAATAACCATGATATATATGATATTTTAAATGTATACTGTTTTTTAGGCCTTGGTCTCAATAAAGAGGTAACTTGTAGTGCCAATAGTGAATATTATTATACCGACAATAACGTCACGCATTTGTTATTTTAAAGATAGCATATATTTGGACGAAATCATCATTTTATTTAGTTTAATTATAAAGAACAATTTCATGTGATCTAGCAAACAAGAAGGTTGACAACGGGATTGGAGGAACTTACAGCACACTGTCAGCTTCACGGACCCCTTGACATTGATTTTATTTTATTTTATTTACATGAATTAGTTTTAATATTAAACTGCATTTCAAATTGATTTATCGTTGCCGGTCCTTGATCTCTATCTCAAATAGATTTATACATGGATGCTATTGTCTCACGTCTGTATATACGCAGCACATGGGCCATAGACCATTTAATTATCAAATTGGTGTTCGAATTTATATGTATACGTGTATGTTTTGTTCTTTCAGTTTGTAAATCATTGACTTCTTGGGTATTTCAGATGGTTATCAAATACTAGGAGTTCCATGATTTCTTCTTTTAGTGGTGGTCTGAGTTGTCAACATTAAATAATAAGATGATGTCTATCATTTGGCCAAGGGTATATGCTTTTCTAGTATTCAATATGTAAAAATTTGCAAAACTAGCAGTACAGTTAATAATTGATTAATCTATAGAATTATTACTTCTAAATTTTTTTTCTCTATTTATATTTATAAAAAATCCAATTTTTAAAAAAAGACATTTTAATTTTGTGATATTAATATTAAATTTTATAGATTTGGATTCATCTCTTTTTTTAGATTATTTAGTATAAAATTACATATCCTAAAATATGTGTGTGTTTTCTATGTAATTCAATAAAATAACAGTAAAATATCGAAATATAAAGATAATAAAGATGATTTTTTTTAATTATATCATTTTTTTAACAACAACCTTTTTTTATACAACAACAGAACTATATCATATTTTATATTACTTTATTGTGTTTATTATAATTTATCAATTTTTTATAGAATTTCTAATAAGTAAGCATACCCATTTCAATCATGTTTATATATCATCAATATATATACATATATATATATATATAGTGGTCTATTATTACAGTTTTTTTTCAAATATACCAAATCAGCGTAAGAACTCATCAGCTTATCTTTATTATCATATATGACTGTCAGAAGTTGCGAGTTCAATTCCCTGTCAGCGGTAGGAATGATACTGAAACCTCTCCAAAAAATCATGTCGCAGATGGTCTACGGAGTTTTATGATGTTAATCGAATTTTCTTAGATGTGAAATCTTTCGAGATAAGATCAGTTACTATAAATTTTTTTATCTACAACAGGTATATTTAACATTTTTACCAAAAAGAATTAAAACATAAAACAAATAGTCCATGCATGTTCGTGAATTAAGATGATGACGAATATCTAAAAATATATGTGTTTTACGTTACATTGTTATCTAAAGAGACATGCCAGCAAAAATTAGGATTTTTCTATGGAAATATATATATATATATATATATATATATATATATATATGACATTTTTATTATCAGGAGTATGTTCTATAATAAAAAAAATTGCAATTAAATATTTGGACGGATATTATTGGACTTTCTATTTAACGTGTTGAAACACTGTATAAAACATTATCTTGGTTCAGAGTGCTTCAAAAACCAGAGGCTTACTAATACACACACACACACACAGTTCCCCCCAGACGAATCCCCATATATGCTCACCCTCCCTCTCAGTTCACACAGATTATTTACAAAATTCTACATATAATATCGGTGGAATCTGTTTTAAGTTAGAATCTCCAAAGGGGTTTGTTGTAGACGTGCAAGCGCAGAGGGCATTCTCTGGTTGTGATCAGCTTCGTACATGAGCTGACCTCATCATGGACTAGCTTGAACGGACCCGCATGCGCAATTTAAACCTTATCGGACTCTCACAAGCAGAAAGCACGCAAATGAGGATGGCGCCCTTGCAGTGGCGAGATATAAATGATGTCTATAGGGGTCATGAAAACAAGTTTGATACATAAACTTATAATATATAACAGTAGATGGGAAAAATAAGAAGATAATGGGTGAATTTAAAAATTGAACACAAATTTATTAGCGTCAAATATTAATTTTATCTTTTCACAAAAAAATATTAATTTATCTTGATATTTCACCAAATTTAAACTAAACATAAAATACAGATTAATTTCATTGGGTGGGGTTACATCACCCCCATTACATCTTCCAGTTTGCCCTTGTAATAAATACAACACCAAAAATAATACGTCCTTTAAACCTAACCTAACAAAATTAGAGAATTAATGGACGACTTAATTAGGTTGGTTAATGTCTGTAGTAAAAAATTATCACGTCCACTTTTTTTTTTTGACATAAGCACGTCCACATTACTTTGTTTGAGTGCATGATTACGCTATAATTTCTTAAAACGAATTAAAAATGTAGTTGTTGTTTTAATAAAGTAGTCCTTTTCAATTTGCATAATACAATGATTTCTAGTAAAAAAAAATATGTTTGAAGAGTTTTCACTTTACAGATAAAAGATACAAAAAAAGTGAGGAAGTAGATACCGACTATAAATAATAATAATAATAATTGAGAGACAAGAAAACTGTAGTAATGAATACTAAAAAAGAAAATAGATTTTATGAAAATGGCGTCAAAAGGAGGAAGGAGGTTGAGTATGGTTTACGCCAAACACAAAATAATAAAGAAAAGGAGTTGTTCGTATCATCTTCTACCTTATAAAAACACACCATCCTTGTTTCCCTCTACCTACACCGCACTCTCTCTTCTTCTTCCTCTGTCTCTCTCCTCTGTTTGGACACATGGATAAGGTCAACCTCCTGAAGAATGGTGTTTTGAGACTACCACCTGGTTTCAGGTTTCATCCCACTGATGAGGAACTTGTGGTTCAGTATCTCAAGAGAAAAGTCTTTTCTTCTCCATTACCAGCTTCCATCATTCCTGATGTCGATGTTTGTAGAGCTGATCCTTGGGACTTACCTGGTTGGTTTTTTATATTTTTTATATAATTCATTAGTTTTCCACCTTAGACTTATGTTAAGTCGATTTTAAGTACAACTGGATGAAACATTTGTCTTTCCAGATTTAAAATTAAGTATACATATTGCATGGTTTTCAAATTCTCAACCTATTTTTTTATTAATATTAACATAAAAATGTAATATACAGGCAATTTTGAGAATGAGAGGTACTTCTTCAGCACAAGGGAAGCCAAGTACCCAAATGGGAACCGGTCTAATAGAGCAACCGAGTCCGGTTATTGGAAAGCTACCGGTATTGATAAAAGGGTTGTGACCTCTAGAGGAAACCAAATCGTTGGTTTGAAGAAAACTCTCGTGTTCTACAAAGGCAAACCACCTCATGGGTACAGAACCGATTGGATCATGCACGAATATCGTCTCTCTTCCTCTCCTCCGGTACAAATTTCTTTCTCTAAATTTTCCGGTTTAGTCTCCGGTTATCTCCACACATGTCATTTCACTAAACTTTTAAAGATTATATTTTCTCTGCAGAGTTCTATAGGCCACACTCAGAACTGGGTTCTTTGTCGTATCTTCCTTAAGAAGAGAGCTGGTGACAAGAACGACGAGGAAGGAGATAACCGGAATCTTGAAATAATTACATCAAACCAAACCGCAGATAAAACCAAACCAATCTTCTTCGACTTCATGAGAAAAGAAAGGACTACGGATTTGAACCTTTTGCCGAGCTCTCCTTCTTCTGATCATGCTTCAAGTGGAGTCACGACGGAGATCTTCTCTTCCGATGAAGAAACCAGTAGTTGCAATAGTTTCAGAAGAAATATTTAGTTTAATTTTAATGTTGACTGTCTTATATAATAAATTTATTTTAATACGACTCTTCTCCCTTTTTTCCCATGTTACTTGAAAACGAATCTGTTTCTTGAACTGGTTGAATTTTATTTAAGTAACTAACCACCCTATTCAAGAACAATGCATTAACTTCATTCCCAACAAAATTTTCAATTCTTCTCCCAACGGTCCACTTATTGCAATAAATATATGTTTGCAAGTCATTGCACTTTACTCGAGATACTACCACAAACTGAGAATATATTTTCATTTTGGAAATATATATGGAAGAAAAAGAAGAAGCAATAGCTTATTTTACACGTTGATTTGGGGTTTTCTCTCAACGAATGACAATTCCATGACGAAAAGTATTCAAATTAAAACTATAGTAATCTCGTTATTATTAATGAAAAGGTATTAGTGTTAGTATTGTGAAGTGGAAATGATTACGGTTGAATTCATTTACTCTCTGCACGTGACCGTGAAATTATTATTAATGTGTTTATGTGTATTTTTATTATTTGACGGCATTGGTGTATCTATGTAGTTGAGTGTATATGATTACATATATGCATGGAGGATTACAACTAAACAGGGTAACAGTGGCACGGAGAGGCTGTGAAAGAGAGCTTTTTGTCAAAAGTGCAGAAAACGTAATTAGAGTGTCATGAGTATTTATCACTTTAATGTCAAAAAGGTCATAATTATTCGGTGGAAACTACACAATCATAGATTTTTTACTCATTTCAAAGTGAAATCATAATAAGAAGAGGAAAGAACCATTTGTTGTTTACAATGATGTGATCTGGTTTCAGATAAGGTCCCCACTTATTAAAATGCTTTATTTTAGATTTAATCTTTCCTAACTTGTACTCCTCTGTTTCAATTTATTTGTTATTCTAGGTTTTTACACACAGATTAAGGAAACATTTAATTTTACACATTTTCAATATAAAAACACAATTACCAATATATCTAACCACTTTTAACCAATAGAAAAATAGAATATCATATAAATATAATAAATTATGTCTCGAAACTCTAAAACGACACTTATTTTGAAACAAATTTTTTCCTCTAGAATGACATCTAATTCGAAACGGAGGGAGTAATCGGTAAGTTCCAATTTTTTTTTATCAAAAAAAAGGTGGTAAGTTAGTTTTTTGGGGGCTTCCTTTTATTTTTAATTAACTATGGATTTCATTACAAATAAATCATAGTAGTGGTAATAGTATGTACGAGTAGCTCAGTTGATGTAAGGTCAGCGAGGCAAATAGCTTAGATCTATAAATAATTACGGTACATATTTTTATGATAATCCATTTACTAAATAACTTTACGTATGTCTTTTTTCTCCATAACTCAACAAACCGTGTACCGGAATACTGGCGCATTATTTATGAGTTATATAGCATTCAACTATGTGTTACATGTGCTTATTGTGATGCAACATTTTTTGTCACTGTAAATTTCATTCAGATAATACATTGTGAGTTACATTATTACATGGCGGATAGATTCTAGATCTTCAAAACCTAAACTTGAAAATAAAAATAGAATCAAATTCGATGATCGGAAAATCAAAAACATAGCAAAACAAAAATAAAATGAACAAAAGAAAGAATGAAATAAGCGAAAAGGGTCTTAAAAAGACATCACACCCAAGAATATGTCAATACACCACGAATCACTGCGACCTTTGCAACAGAATTCTGTTAATTTTTTTCATAAACTATCACAATTTGCAGTTGTTTATAAATATCAGGGAATTTACAATCTCAGTTCATTTCTCATTTCAAATTTTATTTCATAATATATTTTTCTTAAAAAATAGATTTTTTTGGAATTCCCAAATATAAAATAATAGAATTATTTCAAAAATAAAATAGTTATATTCATCTGTTTTCTTGCAAATATTTGGTTACTTTCGTTGTATATTTAAAAAAAAAATAGTTTTGGAAAATCCAATATGGGCGGATTTGCTTTAAATGAGAGCAAGTTGAATGCAGTTGTTTTTTGTTAACATCGAGCATTCAATCTTCTTGGAAGTCCGATTATTTGTATTGCTAGGAAAAAATAGATAGAAACTCAAAAATTAAATAATCTTTTTGATGTTTTTTGTTTCTTACGAATATGGAGAAACAATCTCTGTGGTCATAGGATTCTAATATGGAAGGACTACAAAAAAAGTTTATGCAGGAATCGATTCAAATAATAAAGTAGATGGAAAGTTATAACTTAATTTATGAGCGAAAGAAAGAAACACGCATAGGTAAGAGTTCAAAAAGAATCACACATAAGAACAAGATTCCGTGATGATAATATATTCGAAGAGAATCAAATCTCTCTCCATCTATCTAAAGATTCCATTCTAATCTTCAAACCTACTCCAAACTGAAAAAAAAACATTCTATGTGAGTTACTGAGTCGTGTGTTCGACAGCATATGTTACTGTTGTCTCCGTCCAATTACTATGCCTTACGTAACTGAATTGGAAAGTTAGGTAACGGTCTAATGAGTGTTCGACCTAGTGAGACACAAAACCTACCAAAGAAAACTACGCAATTAAATATTCGAATTAATGAAACAACTACGTTAAAGTTTTATTTTCATCTCCACTATTTTATGCCTTGGAAAACCAAACCAATAAATAATGGCAATGTTTCCACGGAAAATTGCGATATTATTATAAAGGGCTTATATGTGTATTATAAATGTAGTACATAACAAAGGTACTTTGTTTTGGTTTCATATAAACGGATATTGTTGTTAAGAATAAATTATTGAGAAAATTCTATTTGAAAAAAACATTCAGTATTCGAAATGAATAACAAGGCTATGTTACCTAATAAATATCCTCTATTTGCTAATTCACACTAGTCTACGCATATTTGATATTAGTGGTGGTGGTGGTAAGCATATTTGCTATTCTTGTTCTTGCAAGCAATCCCAATCATCTTCTGAGTACTGACTATCGATTAATTAACAAACTTGATAACAATCTTTTAATATTTTAAGTATTGTATTCATGTACCGTGTGCCACAAAGAAAGGTAAAGAATATGTATCCCGACCCATAGAGATAATTATCGTTTGGATCTATCCTACGGCATGATTGCTATTCGATAGTCGATAGCGGATTTGTTCAAATATTTTGTTTGTTTTCCCCACAAGTTACTCCTCTGACTCGGTTTATCGTAGGGATAATACATATTAGATCTGGCCCGCATAGTACACCAATTTTGCATAAACTATATATGACATAATATGTTTTTCATTGCAAATAAGATTAAACAATTAAGAATGTGACTGGATGACACAATAGACATTAATAAATTGGAGTAATATATATTTTTCTAATCAGGATAAATATTTATTCAGCCACTTACATTAGGGAAGGAAAAAAGTAAAGTAATGCATTTCTCTAAATTAATCGAAAGAAAAAAAAACTTTCAGTTTCATTTTTATTTCTCCATCCGTTTACACCTTTGTATTTCCACTTTTTCACTCTAATTAATGCCAATCACACACTAAATCTTGCAAAAAGTAAGAATACTTGCATAAGAAAATGAAATAAAAATCAATAAGAGAATAAACAAATGTGTGGCGTAGATATACTCAAGTGATTTGAAATATATCTTTTTCACTATTTTATTTAAAACATATCTATCTAACTTATTGTCATATCAAAATCACAGGGTATTAATAGCAACGAAGGAATCTGTAAAAAAATAGACATTATTTGTTAGATTTTATTTTAGTTATATTAGAACACGATAGAGAATAGAACATTGTATTAATAAATTTGTTACGGATTAATAAATCTATTAGCACAACATAATACAGAATGTTATACTATTTTTATAGCTAACATAACATCGTTTTCTCTTTAAAGGTCTATTAAGTGGGCGGTGGAATGTTTACAGACCCTATATTTCTCAAATATTATCTTCGAAACGGCCTCGGAGGAACTGCATGATGTCCTCACGAAACCTTCTGATCAACACTCCTACAGCCATGTTCGCCACAACATATCCTTTCTCCTGGCAAGGATACATTCGTGGTCTCTGGAACATGCTCTTCCCACCCGCAATGAAGCAGCAGCAGCTATCGCTGAGAGTGTTACTCGTGATTCTCGGCACCAGTCGTACATTGCCTGACATGCACCTGTATGGCTTCATCATCTGCTCGCTTTGGAGTCTAAATAAGAAGGCGAATAGGTGAGGCTTTTATCTTCATTGCTTTTATCTTCATTGATGTCTATTGATATTGTTTCTTCGATTTTATTTGTATTTTGCATGTACTACTTTATTCTCCAAACAATCAGTGTTATAAAAAAAAAAAGTGGTTATGAAACACAAGTCCTTTCTCTCTGGTTACATTTAGTGACAAGAAGCAAAGTGCATCTCAAAATGACATTCTTCTTTTTTAGTGGCTTGTAGTTATTTTATTAAAAACACCCACAGAAAAATGGAAAATTGCACACTATAGCTACAAAAAAAGTTAAATTAGCTAACTAATCAAATTTCTCTTCTCTTTCTTCCATCCTTTTTCTATCTCTCTCTTTAAAAATCTAACTGTCTTTTTATGGCTATTTTACAAATAAACTAAAAAAATTACCCAAAAAGAAAACACCACGCAAATACATGTGTAAATGCATTAAAAATAAAAGTAAGCGAAAAAGAGGAGAGGAGAGGAGAAAACAAAGAAGGGAGAGAAGGTACTCTAGAAAGAGTCGTATAATGCTGACTTATTTTTGTGAAATTCAAATTTGCATTAAATTCCTAGTGGGCTGCGACTTAGGAAACGTGGGAGACCTACACACTTTGACAAACCATCATTAGCCACACGTCTTTTTCACTCATATTGCATGGTTATGTGTCACTTCCACCAGCCAAATTCAATATCTATGTATATCCCTATTAGATTTACTTATAACCTTAACATTTGCCTTTAAGTTATAAAAAGGAAAACAATGTCCACTCCCTACTAACAAATCAAAGCTGCACGCAAACAAAACTACAAATGTAAACTTTGACAGTAATGCTACTGCAAAAGTTACAGTAGCAGCTAACTTTTTATTTATGCAGAAATACAGATGCGAAAGGCAATCGCAAACGCAAATAAACCACAAACATCTACCATACATACAAT